CTCAGTTTGCTAATCAGTAAAACTGGAATAATAATAGCTGTCTTGCAGAGTTTTAGGAGTTCTTGTGGCATAGAAGATAAGGCACTTGCCCTCTAACTGGAAGGTCAGGGGTTCAGACCCACCAGCTACTCCACAGAAGGAAGAAGGGGCCATCTACTTCTGTAAATATTTATAGCCTCGAAAACCCAATGGGGATTGCTGTGAGTTAGAAATGACTCAATGGTAGTGAATTTGGTTTTTTGGTTTTCTTTTTTTTTTGTGCAGAGTTTTGGAGAAGATGAGAAGAGATGACAAAAACATAATGTCTGGCATATAGTAGAATGTGCTTAGTAGTTTATTGTCTTCATTATTGGTACTGTGGATCCATTTCACTGGAAAGAGTATGAAACCAAATGTTTCAATAACACCAGACCATAGCTCCTCAAGGAGAGTCTGTATTTTATTTGTTTCTTTAGCCAGAGGTCAAAAGTTAGCAAATTAAGCCCACTGGCAGAGTCCAATCTTCTGCCCACTTTTGTAAATAAAATTTTATTGGAGCACAGCCACTTCCGGGCTTGTCTATGGTTGTTTTCATGCTACAGCGAGGGTTGAGTGCTTGCAAAGCTGGAAATATTTACTATCTGGCCCTTCGTTGACAAAGTCTCCTGCTGCCTGCCCTTCCTAGACCAAAGTGTCAGACCCAGTAGATGGCAGATGCTCAGTATTTCATTCCTTTGATCCTCAACCCACATCTCAATTCCAGCCCTGCCACTGTCTTGCTTTGTGTCCTTGGGTAAGTCCCTTTCCCTCTCTGGTCCTCAGTTTCCTGAGCCTCACCTCTAGAGATTTTGATTTAGGAGGTCTGGGGCGGGGCCCTAAAATCTGAATTTTTTAAAATGTCCCAGGTAACTGATCTGTAGCCAGCTCTGATGTCACATGCATTGTCCTCAAACACTAGTGAGCAAATGAATCACCTGCAGAGCCCACTAAAAATACAGATTCCTGGGACCATTTCTGGAGATTCTGATGCAGTCAATCTGGGATGTCACTTGTGAGTCTGCGAAGCAGATGCTATGCCAAAGAGGCAATAGGGCGTGGTGGGGATTAGTGAGCTGAAGAGCCCATGCCTGTCTAAAGGGGCAGCTATAGCTGTGATCGCCATATCTATTTCTTTTTAAAGGGAAGCCAGAGATTGTTTCTGTGAACCTTTCTACTCTTCAAGTGTTGCCAGCTTTTTCCATTTTAAAATACTCTGCTGACCAACTAAATCTACCTGCAAGCTATGTTTGCCCTGGATTGTTAGTCTATGGATAAATGATTTCCAAGATCTATCCGAGCTATAAGCATCTAGGATTTAATGTACTTAACAAACATTTAAATGATGCTTGCAAATTTTAACAACTATCATTAGTGCTTTACAAATACTAATTCATTCAATCCTTCTGACACTACTGTCTCCATTTCACCGACGAGGAGACTGAGAACAGAGGGGTTAGGGTCAGAGCTGGAATTTGAATCCAGGCAGAGTCTGCTGGTGGCACACAGTTGAGTGCGTGACTTCTAGCCAAAAGGTTGGTGGTCAGAACCATGCAGGGGCACCTGAGAAGACGGGCCTGGTGATGTGCTGCTCAGGGAACAGTTCTACTCTGCACACATGGGGTCACACTGATTCAGAACCAACTCAGCAGCTACTTAACAAGAACAAAGCTGGCCCCAGAGCCTTGCTCCTGCCCCTCCACTAGCTGATACTCTCTTTCTATCCCACGAGCACAGCAGACAGCCCGGCCCACCTTCTTTGCTCGAAAGTTCGAAGCTGTGGTGAATCAAGAAATCATTGGGCAGCTGGACTATTTCCTGTACGGGAACTACCCCTCAGGCACCCCCGGCCTCCGTTCCTACTGGGAGAATGTCTACGATGAGCCTGATGGCATCCACAGCCTGAGCGACGTGGCACTCACTTTGTACCACTCCTTCTCCCGCCTGGGCCTCCGACGGGCAGAGATGTCGCTGCACACAGAAGGGGAGAACAGCTGCCGGTGAGCTCTCAGGAGGGTGGGCGGGATGTAGGGAGAGGACCAGAGCCCCGGAATCAGGATAAAGAGATTCCAAGCACAAAGGAGGGACTTTCCTCCTTTTTTGTTGAGTCTGCTCCAATCCGTCATGCCTAGTAGACAATAGAATGTATGTGGCCTGGTCCCATGTCATGATTGCTGGCATGTTTAGATTCATCATTGCAGCTCTTAGGCCAGTCCACCTCACTGTGGGTCTCCCTCACCTTCACTAAACGCCATGTCCTCCTTTAGCAGTTGTTCGCTTCTGATGCGAGTCAGGGTTGTGTTGTGATCCATAGGATTATCATTGGCTCATTTTGCAAGGAGATCACCAGGCCTTTCTTCCTAGTTTGTCTTATTCTGGAACCTCTGCTGAAACCTGTGCACCCTAGGTGACCCTGCTGGTATTTGAAAGATCAGTAACATCACTTCCAACACCACAGTAATGTGCCAGCCCCCACAGATGACACACTAACAGACAAATGGTGGTCCTCCTTTTAGGGGCAACAAGTTCATTCCATATTTTTCCCTTTCTTCCTTTGCCTAAAAAAAGGTCTACATAATTATCCCAGCAGAGTTTGCTGGTCTAAGCCATTGCCACACTTTTTGCTTTTATAGAGTACTAGATCCAATAGCTACCTGATTGTTTCTTTCAATTAACTCATTCTTTATGCTAAATGTATGTATTTAGAAGGAAGCTTTGCACCGCTACGTACTATGATAGTATTTGTCTTAACTGGAAGGTAACTGAAAATACAATACTTTTTTATTTAATTTTCTAATTGAAAATATTTTTTTAATTTGATCTACAATGTCAAAGATACACAAAATAGAATGACACACCCCCTTGTTCCCATCACTCAGCTCTAGTGATGACCAACTCCAGACCAATCTTGTTTCATCTTCACCTTTGCCCCCTTATTCCTCCTCCCAGGTCAGTGTGAAGCAAATCCCAGACACCATATCGTTTCAACCATAAATATTTTAATGTGTAGCTCTAAAAAGATAAGGACTCCTTTTTAAAATATAACCATAACACTATTATCATACCTAAAAATATAAATCAAAAAAATCTTTAAAGTATAAAATGATTTTATTTGAAATGATTGGATACCTAGCAGCTACCAGCTGACATCTTGGAGGAGTGTTCAAGAATATGTGGAAAAAAGAGGAAAAGGTAGGAAAATAATTCATCAGAATCCTCCCCCACTCCCCTCCTCTGAGCCAGCCAACCCTTTTCATTGTGCAAGCTTTCCCTCCCTTCTCCAGCAATGTGCACTGCGGAGATTTACATAATTGCAACAAGAATTGGGTATCCTGTTTTCTCACTTGGCGTTATACTATTAGCCCCTTTTCCCCATGGTGCTTTGCAGTTTCTGTAATGATAATGATCCTTTTTTTTCTTTAATGCCGCTAGTATTCCACTGAGTAGAAATTCCAGAGTTTGCTTAATCCAGTCCTTCACTGTTGCTATTGTCAGTAGTGTGCCATTCTAAATAATGTTTGATGAATATCTTTCTGCAAAAAGTCTCCCTTCACTCCCTTCTCTTTTCTGATGATTTCCTTAGGATAGATTCCCAGAAGTGCCTCTAATCACTCCTTTTTCTTTCTCCTCTCTTCTCTCCCTCCCACTTCTCTTTTAACAACAAAGCAAACCTTGTGTTTGGTATGTCTCACCGTGTGCCAGCCTCTCTCCACTGTGTCTTGGCCTGTGTGGCCCTCCTTGCCCTCGTCTTCCTTCTTCTCAGGAAGGGGAGAAGGAAGGAATTATTTTCTTCCCTACGACTCTGAAAACACAGGCAGGTTTCCATCTGGTGCCTTGGACAGAGCCAGCTGGGTTCTGTAGGACGAAAGCCCTTTTTTCATTATTTCCTTGTGTCCCCAGCCTTCTCTCTCACTACAGGGTCTGCTTTGGTTTCAAGGGAGACGAGTTAGGGACCCAGGACCTGCAATTTAACGCAACTTCCCTTGCTCACTGTTGAGCCTGTACCCTCATTGATAAAATGAGAAGCGTAACAAATTTAAAAATAATAATGCTTACATCATGTGGTGGTGTGAGGTTTCAAGGAGATAATCACAGAATGCCTTTTGGGTTATGTATTATCATTATCCTTGTTTTAACAATGTTTTACATACTACATGCTCAGTTAATGCCCATGACAGTGTCAGTACCTTGTTGTTGTTAGTTGTGTTCATGATGGTGTTTCAACCCATGCGACCTAACGTGTAGTAAGACAAAACGTTGCCTGCTTCTACACCATTGTCCTGATCCTTGGTATGTTTGGGTCTATTGTTGTGGCTGTTGTGCCAATGCATCTCACTGGGGGTCTCCCTACTTTTTGGTGGTCCTCTGCTTTACCAAACATGATGTCTTTTTCTAGCAATTGTCTTTCCTGATAACTTGTCCACAGTACATATTTGAGTGCCTCCCATCCTGGGGCCGCACCTTCTAGCACCATAGTAAACCATATTCCATTGTGATCCATAGGGTTTTCACTGGCAGATTTTTTTTTTTTAAGTAGTGTGCCAGCCCTTTCTTCCTAGTCTTAGTCTGGACTCTCCACTGAAACCTGTCTGCCGTGAGTGGCATAGCTTCCACCATCACAGCAACAGGCAGTCATCACAGTACAACTAACTGGCAGACAGGTGACAGGTTGGTGCCTTAGTTGTCATTATTATTAAGCCCCAAAGAAACTGGCAGCAGTGAATCTGCTATGAGACACTCACCCCTGAACTGATTATAGGAACTACTCGTTGCTCTCTTGTGCTTTTCTTTGCTCATTGTCCTCATTTTACCCTTCGTTGTCCCCATTATCCCTCACTGCCAGCTCTTTCTCAGTTTTTTTTGTTTTGTTTTGTTTTGTTTTTTGTGATTTGGGTGAAGATTTACAGAGCAGATTCACTTTCCATACAGCAGTTCACATACACTTTGTCTCATGACATCGACCACAGTTTACCACAATGCAACAGCTCTCCTCCCACTTCCTCCCCATAGTTACCCGTTCCCAGTGTCCATCCCTCCATATACTCATGCCCCCTGAGCTGTCTCCCTGTGCATAAGCAGCCCTTCTTTCTCCCATGATTGTTCTCTCCAAGGAGTGTATCTACCT